CTATGCTTCACACGGCACTGCACACACCATATGGGCAGCCGTGTGCTCCGGGCAGAGACTCCTATGCTTCCCAACTTCTATTTTCGCTCCAATTTTGCATCATGCGGACTCGCTTTTGACTCTACCCACCAAACTAAATCTAATTAACTATCTAGAGACCTTCTAAATGACATGCAACATAATTTTCTTTATTTTGCAAAATTCCTCAATTTTTTGGGGTATTACAGGCCCGACCCGAACCGGGGCAATAAACAACGGGCTACGGGCCCAACGACAACAATTTAAAAAATGTTTGGATTGGTTTGGGGCCATTGGGTTGCCTCCTAGCCGTTGGCAATGGTTATAGATCCGTTGGGGGTGGGTCTGCGGGGGGGGGGGGGGGATAAAAAAAATATAAATACACCTATTTTGGTAAGGGAAAGCGATCCTCCTGGGTGGCCTCATTCAGTTTACGATAATCAATGACCATCCGCCATCCGGTCACAGTCCTACTAGGTAGGAGTTCTCCCTTCTAAACATTTTCTTACATATATTCTCTCTAATACTTCCTACTCTCTAATACTCTCTAATCATTTTCATCTTCATCTTCTACAATTCTCTCTACACCTATTAATATATATTACTCCCTCCGCTCCCCTTATATTGTCCCGTTTTACCTTTTCGGGAAATCCCACTAAAATTGTCTCATATCATATTTGGTAAAGTTTGTGTGGCTCTAAATCATTCTTACTTTATTCTTACTTTATCAATTAATATCAACCACAGAAACTCACTTTTCTTAATAATTGTGTCACCCTCTTCCGTCCCAATATAAGAGGGACAAAGGTAGTATATCTATTTAAATTAGTTATACAATTATTATATCTACTTAATATCTACTTATAAGGCAATATGTTTTGGAAAAGGATATATTAAAAACGTTTCTCGCAAACTTTGATGGACGTGTTAGTATTTGAAGTGATATATGGAAAGATACTTATCATCATTTGTATTATTTGAAGTGATATGTGGAAAGATACTTCTCCGCATAAACGTGTTATCGCTTTTCGAAAATTTAATGACCGACACACCTGTGATAATATTTATATTCTCATTGAGCGTATTTGAACTCAATATAATTTGATTGATGACACTGCTCCTATATCTAGATTGTGTAAATTGTGTGATCCTTCTACTTTGATGAGACACGCGCGCGCATGCCCATGCCACGCTTACGTGCATGCCCACGCCCACGCCCATAGGTATGTATTAAGAACATTTTAAAAAAACAGAACTTTATTAATAACATGACAAAGAATAATTAGGTGTTTACTTCGCTGCTAAAGTCACAGTTAGGATAGTAAGACAGATGAAGTAAACATGCGCGTTGCTTAAAAAGCCGCTTACTAACCGAAAGAGGTGCTTAAAGTGTCGCTTACTAAGCATACCCCCCCCCCCCCCCCCCCATGTATTAATTAAGCGGCACTTTAAGCTTTTTCACTTTCCGAATTACCCCTTGCTCTTACCCTATTGTTACCCCGCTACGCCCTACCCTGCTACCCCGTCCCCGACCCACCCTATCCTATCCTACCCTACTCCTACCTCACCTTACCCCTACCCTACCCTACCTTACCCCGACCCCACCCTAGGCCCCTTACCCCAACCCCTAGGCCCTTACCACCCTACCCCAACCCTGCCACATCGGCTCCACCCCGACCCCACCCTTGCAAACCCCTACCCCTTCCCCTAGAACTACCCCACGACCCCACCCTACCCCTAACCCCTAGGCTCTTACCACCATACCCCAAACCTCCTACCCCCTTTTGGTCCCACCCCCGATCCCACGTGGGGGTAGGATGGCGGTAGGGTGGGTACTGGGTAGTGGTAGGGGCATGTGGTAGAGGGTATAGGGTAGTTTGGGTGGGGGTGGGTTGGGATCGGGGTGGGGCCGAGGTAGGCGCAAGTGGTGTAGGGGAGTGGGGTTGAGTCATGGTTAGGGGTAAGGGTGGGGATTGTGGGTAGGGTGGGGTCGAGGTTGGGGTAAGGTAGGGTAGGGCAGAGCTGGGGCATGACAGGGTATGGTGGGGGTAGGGGTAGGGTGGGGTCAAGGTAAGGTAGGGTAGGAGTAGTGTAGGATAGGGGTGTAGGGTAGGGGTTAGGGGTGGGGTAAGCGGGGCGGGTAGGGATTAGGGGGTATTGTTACACGTACGAGGTGAGCCCACATATTATATTATATACTTGTGTTCATGAATGTTTGTGTGTCTATATATGTATAGGGTTATTTTGGACATTTTAATGTTAAACGGTGTTTTAAACCTTTTGAAGTAAACACGATCTTACAACATTGCTTATTTTATGCGCCGCTTATTAACGCGAGTCTTAATAAGCACCGTTTAGTAACTCGTGAAGTAAACATGTCCTAAGGGAAAACTTAATAATTGTGGTTATGTTGAGGTCAAACGAAAGTTGTTATCGATGATGAACTTAAAAGAAAACCTACATAAATTTTAGAACATATTTCAAGAATTGATAATTAATAGTAACCCAATAATCATCTTTATTGTACGTGTCAATAATGTATAATTGGAGGTGTATATATTAGTGGGAAAATTTTCAAATAAGTCCATGCACTATTACAAAAAAGTCATTTAAGTACATGTACTTTTAAATGAATCAATCAAGTCCGCATACTGTAAAAAAACAACCAAATTGGCTATTTCATAGGTAATCAACTGGTTCCCAGTTCAAATGCTTGTGTGGATCTGTCCAACTGGATTTTTTTTTACTGTTTACAATTTTTTATACTATGTATTTTTTTCATTTCATTTTGTTTTTCTTTTTCTCTCTCTTTCCTTCTTCTTTCTCCCCGCTTCATTCCAGTTCAAGGTCTCCATTGCCATTGTCCGACCTGCATCACCTCTTCCTTCTCCCCTCGATTCCTTTTTTCTCTTTCCTTCTATCTTCTTTTTCTTGAAATCCATATCATAATCTTGTACCCTGTAAACTTTATTTTTCTTTTTTTTTTTTGACTCTTTCAGCGGGCTCTCTTGTCTATCGGTTCAATACTATAGCTATATATGCTCTAATATACTTAGAGCCCGTTTGGAGAACTCTGTTTTCGGCTTATCAGGCTTATCAGCCAGCTTTTTCACCAAACACGTAACTTTTACTTTCGCGCGCTGAATTGTGTAATAAGCCGAAAAAGTAAGGTTGGAGTTACTTTTCTGGCTGTATTGGATGAAGTTACTGTAGAGGACCATTTTAGCTATTTTTACATATAATTTTTTCTTTAATTTATAAATAAAATATATTTTTAAAATATTTTTTTCTTAAATCAGCAGAATCAGCCAAAACAGCCACTCCAGCCAGAATATCATAAATTTCAGCAGAATCAGCCAAAACAGCCGATTTTGGTGCTACCAAACGAGCTCTTAGTATATATATACATACAGTCCGTCAATACATCATTGTTGTGACCGTAAAAGGTTCTACTAGTTGAATTCCTTGCAAACCGTATAGCATACCAAACATGTCAATAAACAAAAATAAAGAAGAGCAAGTCCAAAAGCACAAAAATCAGAAAAAGTTCAGGAAAATTATTTGGATGACTTTCTACTGTTAAAGTGTTGAATACCGTCTTCGAACAATATAGTAAAGCTTGGGTCTTGTTCGCCCGCCGGAACTTGGGTATGGGTTTTGGATCTAAACTTAACCTCACGCTGGGATTGGCTACTTGAGCACCCAACTTCCTCTTCGCCCAACTCCCGTGCCCGGCTTCGGCTTCACCTAGAGAATTCAAGCCAATGCAATTAACCCGCACTCGACATTAAAAGGCCCAATTTCGAAGTTCTTAGAATCATAAACAAGGGGGTAGGGATGGACTCGGGCCGGGCGGCCCGGCCCGGTCACTGTTTGAACCGGCCCGGACCGGCGTCCCGGCCCATGGGCGGTTCGGGTCGATCCGGCCCGGTGGCTACCGGTTCCGGGCCCGGGCCCGGGCCTTCATTTTGGTGAACCAGCCCGGCCGGTTCGAGCCCGGTCCGGACCGGATTTAATTTTTTTTTTTTTTTGAATTTTTTTTAAGTTTTTGGGTTGGATTGGTTATTTTGGGCCATTTGGGGTGGTTTGAGGTGGTTTGGGGTGGTTTGGGGTTGAGGGGGAGGGTAGGGGGTTGATTAGGAAAACCCAAAAAAAAAAATATAGAACCGGACCCGGGGTTACCCGGGCCGGTTCCGGGCCTCCCCTACCTTGAACCGAGGCCCGGCCGATTCAAGGCCCGAACCGGGCCCGGCCCGGAACCGGTCCACCACTACAAGGGGGTAATTTTGTGGTGAGCGAATAAGGGGAAAGACAAAGAAGAAAGAATGAGGGATGAGAAGTTTGCCGGAAACAGGTGGTGCAAGAAGAAAGCAAATGAGGGAGGAGTTAGTGGCAGATTGGACGGTGTAAGGCTAGAATGGGAAAGGAGCCGAACAAAGAAGACATAAACAGAGAAAAAGGAAAGAGAAAATGAAAAAAAAAAAATAGAAAATGTAAAATTAAGCCACTTCCATGATCCACATAGGCAGTCAACCGGAGAATCGATTGATTACCGTTAAATAGATGATTTGGTTAATTTTTTACGATTCATAAACTTGATTGAATCGTTTTAAAGTATGTGGACTCAATTGACTTTTTGGTAAAAATAGATAAGCTTATTTGACAGTTTTCCCTATATTATTCAAACGTTTTAAAACAAACAAAAGGACTAGACTGGCCTTATAGGATGATACCCACCATCCCACCCCAATCCCCGCACAATATCATGGACTGACGGTTTGATACTTTGATTAATTGGACTGTAATTTTCTAATCATGTCTGGTATAATCAAATCTAACCCGATTAAGGCTAATCTGATTTGATATAGTAGATGTTTATTCTATGTGTATTTTACAACAATCGAAGTCTAATCTTAATTGGTTTGATTTGTTTAAGTCCGGGGAGACTGAAATCCAGTTAAACATACATATTCACCTAAGAGTATTAACAAATAGACCGAAGTTAAAAATTAAATTTATTTGCAGATGGTTTACAGGCAAATTAAAAAGGGGGGGGGGGGGGTGTCTTTTTTCCAAAAAATTGAATATCACTTATTCTTTCCGGACGGGTGGAGCAAGAAACACAAAATTACTCCCAAAGCCACAGAAGTGGGACAATGAGAGGTTCTTTTGATTCAAAGTACAGATATACATGGGAATTTAATATTTTGAGTCTATGTCACTCCCAAAAAGGCTATTCGCCACTCAAGGTATTTCGCTTTGAACATACAAACCACCTTTCCAACAAAAAGGTCAAATATACTATACTGATATACATGAACTTGGAAGTGGGCACTTGGGTGTATTTGTTGGAAGCAAATGAGCATTTTGCTTTCCGGTGTAGGAATCCTCATGGATGTCACATCTATCCAGCCACACATCGAGTAAAATGATCAATTTCTTGACATCGTGGCATACACAAGAATGGGAAATGATCCAACAACAAAAGTTACAATGTCTTTAAGAAGATAGTGCTTACTCAAGTTGGCAATTCAAAGTAGCATGGGTACTCAAAACTCAAAGGCCATCTTGATCTTCCATTTCATCAAGGATGACATACTTGGTGGAGGCATTATTAATCGGGGAACCAGGTATGTCATCTCCACTTAACTGGCCTTTTTGTAATTTGGTGTACCTGAAAGTGATGCTATTCATAAGGAATCATCCCATAAAGGCAAAGCATGAGATTTGACTCAAATCTCACAAGTTAAAGAACTGCCGATCATGCATGAGCCACTCCAAAAAAAAAAACTACAAAAGAGAGCCTAGATGGTCGCTTTCATAAAATGTGAACTTTTCTCGACTATAACGCCCTAAATAAAATAACAAATAACCACACATGTGATATATACTGATATATCAGTAATAGAATAACTCTCTGGCATAGATTTTACTAAAGAAAATTGAAACCAATGATTTGTTACTTCAACAACAAACGACATGAAAGGGACCTGCATAAACCAGAGATGACAATGTGTTACTTACTTGTACCAATTGAACAAGCTGACACCAACCATAATTGTAGCAAGGCCAGTCCCTTTCATCCAAGTGAATTCGTCGTGGAAGTAAAACACAGCGACCTGCATAAACCAGAGAGTATCCGGGTTTGGTTCCATGCAAAAGTACAGGATGAAAATATATATAGTGTGCTCATGTGCAAAGTGGGAACGGTTGCACTTATTGACCTGCACGGTGCACTTTTGGCTCTACACAATGCACTTTTAGAATTCAAGGAAAATTTTAACTAAATTACCAACATGCCACTGCAATCTTTATCAATTTTAAAGCATTGTTGGCATATTTAGAGCCATTTGATCATAAATTGGATGCACCGGATCTATTCTTATTTTTCATGTGAAGTGCAAGTTTTGCTACATATATGAGATGCACAGGATCTACCAATCAAAGGTCTAAATTACTATTCTTACTTTTCATGTTACTATACATATAGGGGTGGGTTCAAGTAAAAAGTAGTTTTCCCATGAAAAATGAGAACAAATTTCGACTTTTGATCACTTGAAAATGGATGGATTGAATGAACTTTAATCACAAGAGAAGATTTCAAAAAAGTGCAAATGTTTATACTACAAAGTGGATAGTTAATGATCAAAAGTGCACTCATGCATGTAAAAAAAGATTGTCAATTTTTTTTAACTTGTGCACTTTTTATTTTGTATTGTGTTGCACTTTTGTGCTCTACATGTGCACTTGTGAGCTATTTTGATACACATTTGTCACTATTCTCATTAAAAATTCTTCATAATTATAAAAATGTCACCGTATTTTCAACTTAGATCTCTTTCATCTATTTTTTCACCTAAGAAGTACTTTTTATTTGAACCAAACTCTCTCTATATGTGTGTGTGTGTGTCTGTGTGTAGGAAAAATATCTTGTCCATTCTTCCAGACAGGATGCTCCGTCCGGCCTCCGCCGTTTGGGGCGTTTCCTGTTTGGGGGGTCCACCAAATTTCAGTTAAAATTTCAAACGGGGAGGCAGTTAAATAAATTATTGAAAAAACAATGCGCTTTACTATATAGTGTGGCGCAGTAAATAATTTATTTAACTGATTTTCTGATTGAATTTTAAGCTGATTTTTTTGTGCATAATAATCTACACTTCATGAAGAAGCTGCTCAAAAAACTTCATCAAAAGATTCCACCGGAAACCGCCCAAATGGGAAACGGTGGCAGCCATTTTATATATATATATATATATATATAGAGAGAGAGAGAGAGAGAGAAGTCTTCCTGTCCAGCCGGCCTGACGGAGAACCGCTGTCCGGACGAGGGCATTTCGGGCACTTTCCGGTGGAATTTTTTGATGAAATTTTTTGAGCATGTTCTACATAAAATCTAGTTTATACATACCAAATTTCAGCTAGAAATTCAATCGGGAAGACAGTCAAATAATTTTTGGAAGATAACTGCACACTTAAATATGTATAAACTGCACAGTTATCTTCCAAAAATTATTTGACTGTCTTCCCGATTGAATTTTTAGTTGAAATTTGGTATGGATAAACTAGACTTGATGAAGAACATACTCAAACAATTTCATCAAAAATTCCACCGGGAAGTGCCCGAAATGCCCTCGGCCGGACGGCAGTTCCTGTCAGGCCGGCTGGACACGAAAAGTTGTCTATATATATATATATATATATATATAGAGGAATGTTCAGGTCCGAACATTCCTGGTCCGAACACCGTCCGAACATGGACGTTTGGGGCCCTTTCCGGTGGAATTTTTTGATGAAAATTTTTTAGCATGTTCCTTATCAAGTCTAGTTTGTCCATACCAAATTTCAGCTCAAAATTCGATCGGGAAGGCATTGAAATCATTTTTTGAAGTTGACTGCATCAAAATATACATATAAAAACGCAGTCAACTTCAATAAATGATTTGAATGCCTTTCCGATCAAATTTTGAGCTGAAATTTGGTATGGACAAACTAGACTTGATGAGGAACATGCTCAAAAAAATTCATCAAAAAATTCCACCGGGAAGATCCCCAAACGAGGATGTTAGGACGGAGGGTCCTGTCCGAACGTGGGGACCTGATCATTCTTGTATATGTGTATGTATATATATGTATATATATGTATGTATATATATATATATATATATATATATATATATATATTGCACATAATCATTACCACAGTTCATACCAGAATGGTAACAGCCTCCTTGACAACTCCTGCTATTGTCACTGTTACAGCACTAGTAACAGATATAAGAATAAATTCTGTCAACACCTGCAAAATATCTGTTAACATAAGACAATAGGAAATGCATACATGTAAACACTTGTAAGAGCTGACCAATAAGCTTTGCACAATTTCCATCGAGCAGACTTATATAATATTACAGTAGCTTAATTGATTGCGCTTGCCAATTGCGAATCGACTGATAATGAGAACAAAGTAGTTCATGTGTGGTTTTTTTGGCTGGAATGGTTGAAATCAAACGAAATAACACATTTTACCTCGTGTTTATAGTCCCTCCATCCCACGATTTCCTGTCTTACTTTTCTCTTTTATCTATCCTAACATGCTGTCCACTTTCTAAATAGACATCAACAGCATTTTATTTTTCCATGTCCACCCACATGATCGGCCCTTTTAAAATGAGAACTTCATATTATAGCACAGCCACACAAAAAAGAAAAAGAAAAAAGGATCCTCATCAAATGAATTTTAAATGATTAAACACAGATTCATACCATAAAGAAAGCCAACGATCCACCAAAAAGCATCAGTAAACAACTTCTGATTATATGCCATGAACTATCGAAGTGATTGCTCTTGCTGAATTCATGCCATGGATCCAAAAATAGAGAGAGCAATGCAGTTGACAAAGTCATCACTGGAGTAACGTAACTCATTAAGGTAAGTGGATTTTTCAAACCTGGAACCAATCAATGTAAGCAGGTTAGAAGTTCTACTATTGGTAAATATTCAAGTCTAATCTGATTTTAACACAGTAAAGATCTTGATCTCCACTCCTGAGACAAGTTCAAATATTAGCCGTTCATTGCATGTTATTGCATTTCATTTTTGTAAGGCAATGACTACTTTAATACAGCCAATTATGTCCATAAATTGACACTCGTTAAGTACAGCAAAGTCATGCTTTGTCTCTAATAAAATGTGGGAGAGGAGCTCTCCATCTAACAAAAGAAATTAAGGATTATAATAAGTTACAGTACTCCTTAATGAGCACATAACTTCATGTTTTCTTTGCCTTGAAAACGTTCCTTATTCTAAATAGTCAGGATACAATGCTTCTTCAACACAATAAAGGCCACTTATTGAAACTGCGACATTCATAGCATGCTCAAAAGCCTTTGCATTAACACACTGATAGGACACTGGTAGTAATCAAGCAAAACAATAACAGATCCAGAGAAATTATGCAGAAAAGAGATCGAAGTATGTTTATTGATTAGAAAAGAACGGGAAGATGTATACAAAGCAAGGGACAGTTCGAGATGCCCAATCTCCTAGCCAAGCCAAATCCAACAAAATACTTGTCTGCTTTCTTATTTCTCCCTCCCTCTATTTATACTTACTTATGGGTCAGCCTAATACTAACTAGTACCTAGCCCAGGACCCTTTAATACCCTAACACAATTATTTATTATACTTCTATTATTATTAGTATTATTATACTAATGGGTTCCTATCATATCTCCCCCCTTGAAAAACCACCTTGTCCTCAAGGTGGGTGATAGGAACCAGCCTGGACTTTCAGCTTTATCTTCATTCGAGCACCTCTTCCTTCCCAGTATCTAACTGTTGATTTGACCTGGTGCTTTAATGCTTGAAACTTTAAGATGAAGGATGTTTCTGTTGCAAAAGTTATATTTGGAGAAGTTTTATTTTCTTCAGTCGCCTTTAAGCCTTCAATAGCAACAAATAGCTCCTTTTGCTGTTCTTTTCTGTCTGTAACAGTTAACTGCTTTGATATGGTTGCTTCCAGATTCTTTAGAAACAAACCATCATTCCCAGCAATGAATGTATTCATGTCTTTAATGAGTTGAAGGAACTTGTGATTATGAAAACTCCAAGCTTTGGCATTCTTCAACCCTGTGTGGATCCGCTGTTCTGTCAACTGCAGAAGAGTAATGACACAGTTTGCCAACTCGTCCCGGTTATGCACAATTATTGTTGCACACTTGTTGCTGTCAAGAGATCCCTCATTCAATGCATTTTCAATACCATATTTTGTATAATTCCCAGCAAGAATAATCCCCATTCCATTTTGAATATACTTCATACAAGTATCACTATCAAATTGGAAACCATCAGTCTTATTCAGCCACACCCAAGTCAGGTTTGATGCATGAAATGGTTGTATCAGAAATGAAATATTTGTATGCTCTTGCACACAAGTTGTCTGTGCAACCTTGCCAGTATGAACCTTACTTCCAGATATAGCATATCCACTAATTTCTGAGCCTAATGGATCATGGGAAGAGCAAGAAGAAATACTGTGAGAGGAAACAAAGGCAACCCTGTCATCCACAACCCTGTTTCTATCTGCCACTCGCCATGCCCAAGAACTATCATCTAAACGAAGTGAAGGAGTGTTCAAAAAACTGGTCCCAGATATTTCAGAAGGATTCCAGTACATCACAACACCACCAAAGGAGTGTTTATAATCCACCCCAGAACACCCATGGGCCTCAAATTCTTCTTCGGTGACAGGAGAACGGTGCAGTCTCTTTTCAACAACCTTGTCAGTAACCTTCAGATGTTCAGAATAATAACCTTGATCATGTCTCAAACTATCATACCCCACAGTGGAACTAATTTGGTATTGTATTTCAATTTCGTCCTCTTTTTTCTCAGACTTTGATTCACACTCACTAGCTGGTGTTACTGAGGAACCTGATGGTGATGTGTTTTCTTCATCTATCATATATATACTGGAATGGGAATGCATTCCCCATTCGCTAGGATCACCATAAACCCCAATCGATTTAGTCCAAGATTTTCTTTTGGCGCCCTCTTCATTGACTAGAGACAACTCTATCTCTCTTCCTGCTCGGCTATGTCCTTGAATCCTAAATACCTCATCTTTGTTAGGTGTTGTCTGAGAACTGAGATATTCTCTTCTCGAAGGCTTCGTATTTTGACCCAAACTGAGAGAGTCATCTCGCCACAGAGCCTGGAAACTGGGAAAAGTAGCGTATGACTTGGACGTAACCTGAGAATTGAAACCTCTTGTCGATCTCGTCTCACATGGAGGAGAAACATTTCGCGACTGCGAACCAGAAGAAATTGTTCGCGACTGCAAACAAGTAAAAGTGCCAAACGACGATGTTGAGTCCTTCATTTCTGATGATTGCGATCCCGATTCCTGGTCCCCTGTCTTCCGACTGCGTTGTTGGAAACGCCAATTTATGGCTTCCTTCAGAGCCTTCCAACTCTTCTCTCTCGTTTGAGTATACCACCATGGAAACCAGGCTAAGGCTCTCTCCTCCATAGCACCTTCTACTACTACCACTTTATTTTTTTCAGCAGTAGCCTTGAGACGGAAATACTCTTCCATCTTAACAATCCAACTGTCCGCATCATCCCCTGTAAACTTCGGTAAATCAACCTTCATTACCTTACGAACAGGCTTTCCGCTGCTACTGCGACCCCCACTCGAACAATGTTGATCGGAATTACCTTCAGATGCAGCTAGGTATTCCGATTCCTTTGTTCGCTGCTGTTGAGATGTGCGCAATCTCCCTCGGGTTTGAAACTGTTCATTTATAGCCGCCATGGATGCATCGATGTTCTCTATCGCATAACTAGAAGGATCGGAACTCCTCGCGTCTGTGAGATGCGAAGCGCGATGTGGAGTGCGATGCGAGCTGCGCAGATTGATCGCGTGATTCCTCGAACGATTTTGTTTGCTGTTCATCTTCGCAGATTGAGCCAAGGTCATCGCAATTTTCTCCAGCTCGTTTGTACGTAATTCCAGTTGAGCGCGATCCTTCACAGTGTTGACGTGCTTTGATACCAATGATAGGACACTGGTAGTAATCAAGCAAAACAATAACAGATCCAGAGAAATTATGCAGAAAAGAGATCGAAGTATGTTTATTGATTAGAAAAGAACGGGAAGATGTATACAAAGCAAGGGACAGTTCGAGATGCCCAATCTCCTAGCCAAGCCAAATCCAACAAAATACTTGCCTGCTTTCTTATTTCTCCCTCCCTCTATTTATACTTACTTATGGGTCAGCCCAATACTAACTAGGGGTGTAAATGAGCCAAGCCGCTCGCAAGCCGCTCGTGGATCGCTCGGGAAAAGTTCGACTCGAGTTCGGTCATATTAAGCTCGGCTCGAGTTCGGCTCGACTCGAATAGTTAACAAGCTCAATTCAAGCCTATTTATTTTAGGCTCGTTGCTCGCGAGCCGGTTCGCGAGCCTTTGTGTCATATTTTATATATAATAAATATATATGTAATAATTATATATATACACTTTTTGAAATATATATTCCAATTTAGGACTATTCCATTTCAATACTTATCACAGATGGAGTATATTATAATAGTAATAATTACAAAAATAATAACATGTGTGTAGTATTATTATTATACTCATAATCTGTAATAATTATAATATGTACTCTTAATATTTATTGACAATAAAATAAGAATACAAATGTTAGTAAATAAGAAATAACCTAAAAATGAGAATGAAAAAGTACACCTATAATATTTTTAGCTCGAGTTCGAGCATCTAATTCAAGTTCAAATCTATAAAAATTAATTAGCGAAACTTGACCAGAGCTCGAATCAAGCTCGAATACAGCTCGAGCTGAGCTCGGCTCGAGATCGAACTCGAAATATTTAACTCGTCCAAGCTCGAGATCGAGCTCGAGCTCGTGAATTCTTATCAAGCTCAAGCTCAAGCATACCCATGCTCGGGCTCGGCTCGGCTCGTTTACACCCCTAATACTAACTAGTACCTAGCCCAGGACCCTTTAATACCCTAACACAATTATACCCATTAGTATTATTATACTAATGGGTTCCTATCACACACAGACAAAAATAACACGATAACATTGGAAGCCAATGGCATATTGAAAGCCTCATATTCATAGCATGCTCAAAAGCCTTTGCAGTAACAGTGTAACACACACATACACATGCATTTTTCAATGGAACAACAACTTATAAAGTAATAATAAATCATATATTGCTACCACTCAAAATAACACTGTTACAAAAAAACAAGGAAAAAGTTATAGCTCTAGAAGAGCATGGCTTTCATAGATAGGATGTTTTCTTGTTGTCAAGATAGCCTACTCAGAAGATAAATTTTCATGTCACTACTTAACACTAAGAATGTGTCCTGCAATAAGCACAATATAGGTCTAAAGAATGATAGCCTAAAGACAAAAGTAATAGTAAATAAAATTAGAAGCAGCTTCTGGCTTTGATGTACATAAAGATTAAAAGGTACTGATGTTCCTTACCATAAGTTTCTTTCTTTTTACGCCAGTTTCACATCAGCATACACCAGTTGGTTGGTAAATAGGAGCCAAGAAAAAGTAGATAATGTAAGTCAACCATTTGTTATGGATATCAAGGAAATACACCATCTGATCAATAAATATCCTACCTGCAGTAGTATCTGAGTCATGGTCCATCGAAATCCCGACATAAAAGCAGCTAGCATAACTAAGATGAACCCCCAAAACTGAAATTCAGTTTCCTTTGCAACTGCAAAAATCATTAAAACAAGCTGGAGATAACCACATACCACAAAGAGAAAAGCGGCAGAATATTCTCAAAACATTGACTAGAACTATCTTAAAAACCTATTATCCCCAGATGAACATGCATATAGATAGTTCAAAGTTGACATGCCATCATAGAGGAATAAGCATACACTAAGTTCGGGGTTGTTTCTGCCTCTAATGAAGGCTTTAATAATAAAATACTTCCTTTGTCCCAAAAAACTTGGCCAAATTTGATTGCACGTGGAATACGAAAGTAAAAACTGTGTGGTTAAGATGTGTGCAGAGGAGAGAAAAATAAGTTGGACCATATATTGATTACTTAAATGGAATTGGCAAAGTTTTGTGGGACGGAGTGAGTAATAATTTACTGCCCATAGCACGTCATCCTAATTCCTACAGTGAAAAGCTGAAGTTTGTATACCTCTTTTGAATTCGAAATCTTACTTTTTTTAAATGGTCGAAGATAACTTATTCCCATTTAAACGCCTCATGATCTAGTCTAGGTGATAAGCAGGCAGAGGTTCTAGTCTAGGTGATAAGCAGGCAGAGGTACGAAAGGGTCTAAATAATTATTTGGGAAAAGGGTCAAATAAGCCCTTCTACTATTCCCAATCTATCACATAAGCCCTTGTACTAAAAAAAGAACGTAGTATCAAATAAGTACGCTTACTTTATAAAATTGATCAATTAGGCCATTAATTCAGTTTTTGACCTGTAATAGCAGGTTTTATATTAAAAAACTCTAACATGTTGTTAAAATTTGAAGAAATATAGATAAAAATAGAGAATATTTTCAGAATGTAAAATTCAATATTTTTAAATTGTGAAATTATTTGTATATTCTGCATATACATAAAGGGTTTTTAAATTTTATATTTTTATTTTTTACATTTTCACTTTATTTTTTCAGTTTTCTGAATTTTTTTATTTTAATGTTTTAACATTATTTATCAATTTTTACATTTATGTTATTTTTATATTGTTATAACATTATTTTTCGAATTTATATGATTTTTTATAAGACTTTTCAATACTCCTAATTTATTTTTTTTAAATAACCTGCTATAGCGGGTCAAAATAGCTTGGTTGATTGTATTTAAAAAGTAAGCATACTTATATGATGTTTTTTTAGTAGAAGGGCATAAGTGATGGATTGGAAATAGTAGAAGGATCTATTTGACCTTTTTCCCTAATTATTTTATCCACTGAACTTATCAAAAAAATCATAAAATTTGAAATAATAAAAAAATAAGAGTATTGACTATTGAGACATTGGAATATAGATAGCAGCTATACAAAAAAATTGCATTTGATGTCATACATCGGAAAAAACATAAGAAAATCAGTCCTGTGATGAGAATGAGTGATCCTAAAAATCATGTTTAGTAATTAAGCAAGTGTGTGAGGATAAACTTCCATACCTGTCAACAATATTCCAATTGAAATAATGAAGATGATGCCGAACAGCTTCAGGCTTGGAGATTCCAGCCTTCCACAAATAGTTTTAGATTAGCTAGGGTATCATAAGACAATCCCATGACTTTTAATCAGTGTGGACTGAACCACAAAACCCACAAAATATAATAATAATGTTGACAAACACCATATCTTGAACGGTTCAAATACTCGCAGAATCCCAATATTATACACCTTCTATCCTTGAAAAAGTTTATTCCTTTCCTTTTTCATCCTCCCCCAGTGTACCTCTTTCCCTTTAAAGAAATAAATGTTGTTCATAGTATCTCCCTCCACTTCATAAATCTCAACCTAAGAAGCACGGAAACTCTCGTGAAAGAGAATTCTCCGTTCTGAAAACTCTTCAGAAACTTTGAGAACACTTATTTTCTAGGGTTTTTTACGAGAATATTACTAAAATAAAACTTATTTACATAAATATGAATATATGATTATTCATTACTACAACGGGGTGCTGTGGTAACTAAAGTTCAAAACTTGAACATGAATTACTATGATTTCATTACTATTCTAGTAATGAATTATATTTTTGTAAATCATCTTTATTTTGGTCATATTTATGTAATTATTTCTATTTTCCTATTAAAAGTTGGAGTCCCATACTCCCATTTTCAAGTTCCCAGTGTTTTCCACGTTTCCATGCTAGACGGATCTCAACCACACCATTTCATTGTTCTTAAAAAGTGTGTCTTATTTTAAAGAGAAAACAATAGTTCGGGACAGAGAGAATATTATGTTATTCATTTTAGTTTTTCAACAAAAAGTTCGTTTGTATTTTTAAATATTAAGAAAATGTGTCAGAAACAACCTCCGTCCAATAGTTAACAATGTCAAAAAAAACTATCACACTACTGCATAATGGCATAGCGGTCAAGATTGACCGTCACACGTTCAAAGTTGATGACACAGCCCAATTACATCAGCAAACTGGCTCAATACAGAAGCATTAAGTGAAGAAAAAATTGTGCAGTTAAATTACTATTTATTTTCAAAATATTTGGTATCTTTCACGATGCTATTTTTTACAGATAAATTTATTTAATCAGCATTGATTATTCATTTGAATTAATATTTTCAATGCTGAATTAAGTTATGTTCAAAATGAGCTGATAATAATAATAATAATAATACTAATAATAAATCAAAGTTATATGTTAAAACAGTAATAACAATAATAGTTCAATACAGAAATTTTATTTCAAAGAAAAATACAAAAAGCCATAAATTACTCCACCCATCCTAAAATTGATGCCAGATTCATGTAACGAATTGAGGTTGATGCAGTCGTAAATGATTTTACAATATTTTAATTGGCATCACTAAGTATTGTTTATATATTTAGAAAATATACTAAAAATACCATTAGTGATTCTAAATAAAAAAAATTAAAAAAAATATACTCCCTCCGTCCCGTTGGAATGTTCCCGTTCGGTTTACGATGCTTGACTGACGATAAAGCAACTCGATCCCTGTTCACACTCCGCTTATTTTTAGTAAATAAAATTTACATATTCAGAAACTACATTAAAACCGCTACAAAGCCTGATCAAAAAAAGTTCAATTTGATAAAAATTTGATATATAAAGTAAAAGATTAGGAGTGACCTAAGTTGACCAATGAATAGTGAACGGGAACATTCCAACGGGACGGAGGGAGTATAAAACAAATCCAGTCTGGATTCATTCACATACAACCGAGTTTAAAATTAATTAATTGTGGTTAAGCATCATCGACGTTAAGTTGATGATTTGGTAGTGATGCATCAGCAAGTCTTGTAATGTGGTGATGTCACATCACTAAGCTTGATGATATGACATTGCAAAATAATCCATTAAAATTATATAACGCTACCACATCCACATGTTCAATGACATGACAATCAACAATGACATGCTCGCTTTTACGTGAGAAAAAAATAAAACCACTAACTTTTGGACTGCTCAGTACATGAAAAACTTTTCTTGTTCATGGCATAAATGAACAATATGATGTAGTCTACAGACCCCATGTCCCCGCGAATACTAAAAACTCACTTGAATGAAGGATACAAGTTCAAGCATTTCATTTTAGCATATTACTAATTCAATTTTCTATCTTTTCTCTTTTTTGAGTTGAAGAGTAGTCCCTAACTCTGTGTTGCTTTTCTCGGAATTGCTTCTGGAAGTATAAATATACACTCTTAGATAACTAAACAGATACCCTTCTTTCTATAGCTTCCCTAGGTAGGGTAGATCTTGTTGAACATAAGCACAAAAGCCAAAAGAGTAACTCTTACTTTTATGCTACGTATAATGTTTCCCGTACACAGTGACAGATGTGCTGCACTGCTGCACATTAAATTTATAATGTACAGTTGTAGACATGCTTGGGAATATTACGAAATAAAGCAAAAAGGCTCACTGAACTTTTCCATCATTTCTAGTGGAGCCAAAGACTTAGTATTTTATGGCTAGGGAATATGTTGGAATAAAGCAAAATAGCTCACTAAACTGTCATCATGGGTCATCCAGAAAACAGTCACTCTATGCTTTAGTACAGGGGTAAGGTGGCGTACATCCGACCCCCCTTACCCCTTACTTTTTGCGGCACTGGGGGTAACGTTATTGTTCTGTTTGTAGTTGTACACATGTACAATGACAAACAAAATCCAAGTATGGATCCACCTTCATTCTTTAATTACATATGGGTAAGAAATTACCTGAAAGCAAATGCGAAAAATAGTAGGAATATTGGTGCAGCTGATTTACACTGCAATAGAATCACAACAAAATTGCATTTGCATGTTGAATCATTTGTACAAATTTAAGGATCTAAGATCAGAAGCTAAAGAAAACATTAGGGCGGAAATGTTCTCTCATAATAATGTTAACTTGTTATTGAAGATGGTTTCTTTGTTAGGCCCCCTTATGACATTTTAGTTTCAGTGCAACCTAATTGGTTTTTTAACACTTCCACAGATCCCTTTTTTCTCTCCCTGTATGGGCAATTTTTGTCTCTATCAATGGGATAAAGAGAAGAGCAGCATTTTAGCCAAATCAACAAGCCCTTTTCTTACCCCAGTGTGACCACTACGGAATAAGGAATACAAAAGTTCCAAAAGTTTCTCTTGAGATATCAATTATGCCTCTCGAAAAATCCATCTATCGTGGAACTTGCACTCCATCTATGGTTGAACTTTGCAATGCGAGTTCCACTATATAGTCAACTATAGTAGAAATGCTTTAATTAGTTTGGTTAAACTCATTCTTACATCTTCAGTACTTCTATCCATTTAGAAATTAGAACCGCATTAAACAGAAATACAACAACAAGATGATTACTAACACTTTTGTGGTGGGAAAAGGTGCAGCCAATATTTAGTTCAAAATTTTAGTCCAGCATTGATAAGTAAATGCCATCAATAAACATATTCTCCATAATATCAAGAAAGAAGAACTTTACTAACCATAGTCGCAAATGTAACAGTGATGAAAACAAGGGATTCATTGCTCAAGTTAACATCCAATGCAGTGCCAAGAGCTGTTGGTACTACTGTGAAAGGAATAGTCCATGTGTATCATTTGTTAGAAATTTAAAGAAGAAAAGGAAATATAATTAGCAAAAAAGTAGGTAAAGTATTGAGAACAGAATTGTAACCAAAAAAACTATTGAGAACAGAATGAGCAAAAACTTTACCTCTCAAGCAATAATCTCTCCATGACATATGTACAGTAGGTTGAAACCTTTCAGACCAGATGCAAGTTATAACATTTGATAAAATAGCTTGCATTGCAAAGTGGACAGCGTTCATAAGTAGGGGGGCAGGGAACTTTCCTAAATGATCACCTAGAAGAGTTTTATTATACCTGCCCCACACAAATAGGAATAAGACAAAAATTTACTCTTCAACATTCCAGAACAAATTTAAAAAAAAAATCTCGTTTGGTCAGGGTTATAATTAGGCTGCATGTTGTGCTGAAATTGTTGAATTGAACTCTTGAATGTTCAATAACATCACTTTTGCCAATGAGTAGTCAAAAGCTATGAATTCCGCTTAAAACTTGTTGCTTCGCATTTGATTAGCACAACATGCAGCCTTAGGCTGCCAAAGGAAGCCTATATGTTGTTAATATCTAAGAAAGGGAGAAACTTACAGTGTCAAAAATGTACTGAAAGTGTACCAAACAAGTATAAAGAACAATGTCTTGAGAACATCAGAAACAGAAAAAGGACTTCGGGAAAGCTGCTTTGATGGGTCATGGTAGCTTAGGCATCTATCATCCCCCGTGGATTCTGAATGCTTCAGACCATTAGGGGAACCATCCTCTACGTCAAAAGGCACATAACTCTCTTTTACATGCCTTGCAGTCACATCGCCCAGGTCAACACCGCCTGTCATTCTTCCCAAAATGCTATCACTAAAGTGGTGTCTTTTAGCCTCTGACGATGTATTTGCTACCTCACTCTCTCGTTGGTGAATGAAAGGCAATTCAAAATCCAAATCTTCGGTAACTTTGTTCGCATCCCCCAATTCAGGCGAATGAAGTGTTCCCTTCTCATCAAACCAGCCGGAGAACGAAGGATCCCTTCGAAAACCCGACACCTGACCTCCACTTTGACCGACCTCAAGCTTCTGTGAAAGCAACTCACTTTCTACCATCTCAGAGCCATATCTCCATCTATTATATCACCGCGGCATATTCCAATCAATCGATCACAGCTCGAATTTCACCGAAGCAAGCTGCTCCGAATAATAATCCAAGTTACCCCCGACTAAGCAACACAGAAATTCCTCGCCTTTCCACCTAATTAATACTCCGTAACTGTGTACCAAGTTTAATTCCAAAAAAGGAAGAATTTCAATGAAATGAAAAACTGAAACGAATTTGTGAAACTCAGGGGTCAGAAAACGCAAAGCAAAACGTAGCAATAGAACTCACCGAGTTCCGGTGGAGCTGGTTTGGGAAGAGTCTCCAAAAAAAGATGAAAAAGAACAGGTTTGGAGGGATCAGGTCAGAATCCAGATCTGTTATGCGGAAGAATGATAGGGAGGGAAGGAGTCAAAGTAGCTGCTGGTATGACGTCTTTTGTTTAGTCGTTATCTTGTGTTAATCAATGAGTTCGGTTTATGTCTAATCTAAATCTAACATTTGTAAATACGTAGTATACGGAGTAAATATTACTCCCTCAGCCCGCTTGGTAGTACAAAAATAGGCTGTTTTGGCTGATTCTGCTGAAATTTATGAAGTTGTGGCTGAAGTGGCTGCATTGGCTAATTCTGCTGATTCAAGAAAAAATTATTTTTAAAATATATTTTATTAATAAAATAAATAAAATATTACATGTGAAAATAGCTAAAATGATCATCTACAGTAACTTCAACCAATACAGCCAGAAAAGTAACTTCATCTTTACTTTTTCAGCTTATTACACAATTTAGCGTGCGAAAGTAAAAATTACGTGTTTGGTAAAAAAAGTTGACTGATAAGCCTGATAAGATGAAAAACAGTGTTCCAAACTGCCTCCCTCCCTTCGAGATTGAATTGGGCAATTTGAATTTAGTAACAATAAAGTTAAATGATGATAAAGTTAAATGCTGATACACATAATTAAATCAGTTTTAATATTTCAAATTTAAATATTAGGAAATCCATGGATAGCTATAAAAAATTGTAAAATTCAAATGAAAGTATAATAACATGGTGAAATTGACACCAATAATTCATACATATTAGGGGTGAGTTCGATTCAAACGGTTCGGTTTTCATCTAAAATCAAATGTCGAATCAAAACAAAAACTTCAGGTCAGTTCGGTTCAGTTTTATGTTAAAAAAATTGGAACCATGGTTTGTTCGGTTCGATTTATTTCAGTTTCGGTTTTCTCGGTTTTTAACAAAATATTTTTGTTGATTAGAAAAATAGTAATTGGAAAAACAAAACAAAAAAATAGAATACATCAAACTATTATTAATAGTAATACAATACAAAAACATACATAATTAAAAAAGAGAGAAGAAACAAATGCACTTCCAAACAATGAATTAGAGAGTACGTGTATATCAATTTAAACATTTTCTAAATTAATTAAATGCATGAGTTTATTTGTGAATTATATACAGTGTATTCGCAAGTTAAAATTTTGTTAGTAAATAACTTATTCTATTTTCTTTTTAGACAAAGATATTTATGCTTTGAACTTTCACGTTTTCTACTATGTTGTTTAAATTATAGTTTATAAGATTACATATTTGTTCAATATAAAAAATTATGTGATAACAAACATACATAACAGATAATATATCAACAAAATATTATTGTCATGCAACAACAAGCAAAATGTAAATTAAGATTTAAAATATCAACATATTAGTATTATAGCAATACTCTTAAGTGTATGTGCAAGTGTTTTACTTAATTAAACCATAAATATGAACTGTAAATATCTTTTGCAAAAAAAAAAACTGTAAATATCTTGCAAATCATAATAAATCTAGTTTCAAACATCAATTTTCTTGAATTTATAATTAATGATTAATAAATAAAATAACAAGTTTTAAAAAGTTCGGTTTATTCGGTTCGGTTCGGTTTTGAGATGCGAAAACCAAAACCGAAACCAAAAAACTACGGCTCGGTTCGGTTTTTTGAGTTCGGTTTCAGTTTTCTTGCGGTTCGGTTGTTTTAGTTGTGGTTCGGGTTTTTTCGATTCGGTTTTCGGTTTCTCCGACCCGCCCCTAATAGGTATACACATTTTATAGAAATAATCAATACTTTAAAAGTTCACAATAATAATCTCAATTACTTAATTTTTTTACCCAATTAAACCAAGTGTTAACGGTGTTAAAGTTTTTCATTATTTTTTATTGTAAATGTATTGAAGCGAAAATATATGTGATCATTTAAATATTATATTATTTGAGTTTAATCTTGTTTCTACTAAAACTTTAATTTAATATTCAATATTTTCCATAAAATATACGGAGTAATAGAAGTATTTGAACATTACATAGAACATACTCTTCAAAACCTCTATTCTCTTTTATTTCTTATCCATATTTTATTTATAGCCATTTCTGTTATTCATTATAATAGTGATTTCAAATTAGTTTTAGTAATACTACATGAAATATTAATACAAATTATGTCGAATATTGAATACAATATTTATTATGGATAGTTCTATTACGGAGTATATTTTATGAAAATATTAAATATTGAATTAAATTTATCATAGAAAAAAATAAACTCAAATATGGAGCATAACATTATTAGTTTTCATACATATTTTTGCTTTGATATATTCAAAATTAAAAAAATAATAACCAAAAATAAACACCGTTAGCACTAAGATTGTTTTTGTGAAACTTTTTTTTGCAACAGTAAATAAGTGGAGACTATATTTTGTGAAATTTACTAGTAGAATTTTTTTATACTATATGTAAAAGTAGGGATTATTAATGTCAATTTTGCCGATAAATATTGACAAATTGAAATTGTAAATATATTCTTTGTATAGTAAAAAAAAATCAAAATGCAAATTGTTTTGGGCGGAGGGAATGATTATTTGAAATAGAAGCTTTTCAAATTATGGGATTTAATGAGTCAAAACTCATATATAAATTTTGTGCATCAAATCCGTAGATGTTTTTTTATCTTCCATGTCCTCAATTTATAACTAACTTATCTTCCTAAACGGAAGCAATTCTGGAAAACATTATACTGATGGTTAAAGGGTAAAATTAATAATTAATATGGTTATTATAATCACTGCAAAAATGAAATTATGATGCAAACTAAAACACGTATTGCGTCGATTAGTTTCGTGTTTGGATTTTTCTTATATTGTAGAATGACTTATTGGTAATAGAGTTGCAACTTGCAAAACACTATACTTTAGAGAGCCCGTTTGGTAGCATCAAAATCGGCTGTTTTGGCTGATTCTGCTGAAATTTATGAAGTTTTGGCTGAAGTGGCTGCATGAGCTGATTCTGCTAATTTAAGAAAAAAAAATTAAAATATATTTTATTAATAAAATAAAGAAAAAATTATATGTAAAAATAGCTAAAATGGTCAGCTACAGCCTACAGTAACTTCAGCCAATACAGCCAGAAAAGTAACCCTAGTCTTACTTTTTCTGCTTATTACACAATTCAGTGCCCGAAAGCAAAAGTTATGTGTTTGGTGAAAAAATTGGCTGATAAGCCGAAAAACAGTGTTGCCAAACGGCCTCAGAATGTTTTAGTTGGACTCTAATTTGTCATAGGCCAGATCAGATCAGACCAGACCAGACCAGACTTGAATAGTTATAAAAATACAAAAAAACAGATCATATCAGACCAGTTCAACCAGACCAGCAAATTACAATCCAAGTAAACAGGGCCGGCTAGAGCGATTATGGGGCCCTAGACGGTCATGTAGAGGTTTTGTTTAGATATGTTTTATTTAACACAACGATATAAAAAATAATAGCAATTAAATAGAAGTAAATTACATATGAAATGCATCATACACCTCATACTATTAACGTACCCTCGTTCTCAACAATATTTGAGGGAATGGTTTTGTGTTTACATACCACTCCGTAGAGCTAACAAGTGATTTCATGATCTAATCTTTTCTTAATTTGTTCTTTGTCTTTGTAATCCAGAATCATATTTTTGTTTTCCAATCATTACAAAATATATACTTTCATTCAAAATAATAGGGAGTACTAAATATAAATTAAAGGTTCATAAATATAGATTTAGAGCCCGTTCGGTGACCTTATTTGATTTTTTGACTTATCAGACGGCTTATCAATCATTTTTTCACCATTCACGTAACTCTTGATTCGTGTGCTGAGTTTTGCAATAATAAGAAAAAGTAAGGTTGGAGTTACTTTTCTGATAGTATTATCCGAAGAGACTGTAAATGATCATTTTAGCTATCTTTGATATGATTTTTTCTTTACTTTTTAAAAAATATATTTTAGATATAATTTATTCTTAAATCAGCAGAATCAGTCTATTCAACCACTTCAGCCAAAACTTCATAAATTTCAACAGAATAAGTCAATAAAAATGATTTGAGTATTACCAAACAGGCTCTGAATCACATACAACAGATTATAAGTATTTTAAAATTGTTATATTTAAATACTTAAAAATAACAAATCGCAATTTAATTTAATTATTTAATGCATCAACATGTTTAGAACATTTGCTAGGTGGCTATGTCCCTAGGCCTTGCTGTCCTAGCCAACACTTTTTTTTACGGAGTATAAGAAATTCGAAAGAACTAATAAATGATACTAGTACTAGTAATAAAAGAGGGAAAGACCTAGAGCCCGTTTGGTAGCACCAAAATCGGCTGTTTTGGCTGATTCTGCTGAAATTTATGATATTCTGGCTGGAGTGGCTATTTTGGCTGATTCTGCTGATTTAAGAAAAAAATATTTTAAAAATATATTTTATTAATAAATTAAAGAAAAAATTATATGTAAAAATAGCTAAAATGGTCCTCTACAGTAACTTCAGCCAATACAGCCAGAAAAGTAACTCCAACCTTACTTTTTCGGCTTATTACACAATTCAGCGCGCGAAAGTAAAAGTTACGTGTTTGGTGAAAAAGCTGGCTGATAAGCCTGATAAGCCGAAAACAGAGTTCTCCAAACGGGCTCCTAATTACCTAACAATTATGCTTGGGGTACATAAAGTGTACACAAAGTGTACACAGTATATATACCTTTTTATCCTTTTAACCATTCACTTTTTCTTTTTACCCATTCTTCTTTCTCCTATCACTCGATTCACTCCCACCCTTCTCTCTCTCTCATTTTCTTCTCTGTGACCATGGTTCCCTTCTTTCTCATTTCTTTCTCTTTTTCTTTCTTCATTTTCAAGCTCTCTAAATTATAAACCATTTCAATCCTTCTCCTCCCCATTTACTTGTCATACACGATTCATTTGTCTCCATAGTTGATGATTCTT